CCCCAAAACCCCGCCCCCACGCATCCGCCCCACCCCCTCTCTTCGTCCCCAAAAGGCATCGTCACCCTGGCATCCATGGTCGTCTCCCGCCTCGTTTTCCAGCACCTGGGCTGGGGCGTCGCCGCGTCCGTCACGCCCGCCGTGATGGGCGCGGCTGGCGCCGTCTTTTTCGGAGCGACGCTGCTGGGCGGCGGCGCGCTGGGGGCGCTGCTGCCGGAGCAGGCGGCCGCGGCGATGGTCGGCGTGGGGTCTGTGGCCGGCATCGTCACGCAGGCGCGTAGGCGGGCGGGCGGCTGCTCACAGGGGCGCGCGACGTATGCCGCGGGGGGCCGCGTGCGGCGCAGCCGAGGCCGCGGCGCAGCTGGCAGGGCGCGCGGTGCGCCCACCCGCCCCACCGACGCTCGACCGCGGCAGCGGCCGGCCCCTCTGCTTGCGGCCCGTCCACTCTCGCCGCCCTGCACCTCCCCCCTCTCGCCCGCCGGCATCCGCGTCGCCCTCACCCCAACCGCCAACCGCCGCCAACCGGCAACCAACGCAGGTGTTTGCGCGCTCCGCCAAGTACAGCCTGTTCGACCCCGCCAAGGAGATGGTCTACATAGAGATGGAGAAAGACGAGAAGCAGCGCGGCAAGGCGGCGGTGGATCTGGTGGGAAGCCAGATCGGCAAGAGCGGCGCGTCTTGGATCACCCAGGTCCGAGGGTCTGGGGTCGGGTTGCGTGGCTCCGTGGTGGATTTTGTGAGCGGGCTGTTGCCGTTGGTGGGCTTGCTGATTGATTGGGGGAGTCAGGGTGCTGCTCGCCGCCGGGCGGGGTGAGCTTGTGTGTGTGGGGGGGGGGTGGGATGAAAGGCGGAGGCAGTGAGCGGGTCGTGGCCTGGATGTGGGCTTGCGGAGAGGGGCGAGGGGGAGGGGGCACGAATGGCCAACTGGCAAGAGCGGTGTCTTGGATCGCGCATGGGAGGGGGTGAAAGGGTTGGGTCGGACGCCCCCGCGGATAGACCGCCGACAGCGGTGGGCCGCTCGCGTAGAAAGATTGTCCTGCGAGCGGCCCGCTGCCGCCGTTGGCCTTGCTGTCTGATCGGGAGCGAGGGGGGCGCTCGCCGCCAGGCAGGGTTGAATTGCGTGGCGGAGGAGGAGGGGCAGGGCGAGGGGGCACGGACAGCCGATTGGCAACGGCGGCGTGTCAACGAGCACGCGGGTGCAACAGGCGGCTGAGTTCCCGCCGGGCCGGCTATTTTTCCCCCTCGGGCTGCACCTCGGTGGTGCGACCGATTTGACGACCTTTTTGAGGGAGTGGCTCACGGGCTGGGGCGCGCCGCTGCCCAGAGCGAGAGCCTGCGCTCTCGGTGCGGCGAGCGGGCTCCCAAAAAACAGCCCGACTCCATCACCCCGCCCGCCGCCTCGGCCGACGGCCCGCGTCCGCTCTGCGTCCGCAGGCCTTCTTGCTGCTCTGCGGCTCCATGGCCGGCGCTATGCCCTTCACCGGCGCCGTCTTCCTGGTCGTCGTCGTCACCTGGATCCAGGCCACGTTTGGCCTGCACCGCCAGATGCAGGCGACCGAGGCGGCGCGCATCGAGGCGGCCAAGGCGGCGCCCGACGCGCTCGCGAGTTATGACGACATGGATTCGGCAGAGGGGGAGGCGGGCGCCGCCGCGATCGTCGCGGCGATCTCGGCGGCAAATGGCGGCGCCGCGGCTGACGGCGGCGGCGGCGGGGTGATTCTTGCGCCGCAGGCGGCTGCGGGCGCGGCGACGCCGGCGGAGGCGCTGCTGAACGGGGGCAAAAGCGGCGGCGGCGGCGGCGGCGGCGGCGGCGCGGGCGCGCTCGTGACGGCGGCGGCGGGCGCGTCGGCGCAGCCGTGAGCGGCGGCGGGACTTTCCGCCAGCGGCGGCCGCCGGCGGCCCGGGAGCCTGGCCGCCGCAGCCGGCTCTTGGCGCCGACGGCGGCGTACAGTTTGCCCCGGGACCGTCGAGCACGCGTTTGCTGATGTCAGCATTCTCGGAAAGCGGAACCCATTTCTACCCTCGCCGTCGCCGCCCTCACCGCCCTGTGGCCTCGCAAACAGCCTTCGGCCGCCGCTCTTGCCGCGCCCCCCTGCGATTGGGGCGGCGCTGGCCAGTAGGCTCTGCTCCATATGTCCGGCCGTGCGCGCCTGCCAAGCCCGCGCAGCGCGCCGCGCCGGGCGCAACCTCGTGCGCTGTACGATACGCCGTGCGCTTGCGCCTTTTGATGAGTCCGAGGCGTCGCAAATGATCTGGCCCCTCCAGGGAGCCGGCTCCGCCCTGCTCTGAGGGCACAGGCGGCGCCTGTGCACGCGTCGGCCCCGCCCGTGCTGTTTGCCCTTCGCTGAGCGGACTGCTGCTTTGGCCGCACTGGGCAATCCCCTGTTGAACCTGGGATGAACCGTGAGCAAGGGTTTCAAGCGGGGGCGTGTGGCCACCTCACCCGCGCTCGGCAACCTGCCAGCCGGCGCCCGCCCGCCCATCTCCCGCCCCGTATGTTTCCCGAACACTTTTACGCCCCGCGCCCGGGCGCCGCCGTAGGCTGTCCCCCTGTTCACCTCCGGCGCCGCCCGCCGCGGGGCGGCCCCACAGCGGCGGCGCACGGGCGTTGCCCGCCAAGGGCGGGCCCGGGCAGCCGCCCGCCCTGTTTTTGCTGTGTTTTTTTGTATGGGCCCCCGTCCGGCCCCTGGCGCCGCGCCTCAAACCGGCCTTTCCCGGCGCAGCTTGGATTTCGCACGACCCTAGCCAAAGTTTTGCTCGCGAGTGCCCCTCCTGTGGGGACGGGTCCGAGGGATTCGAGGGGTTTGGGGCCGTGAGTTGGCTCGAGTCGTGCGGGTGAGTGTTGACGGGCGCCGGTCCCAGCGGCGGCCCGCACTTGAGTCGGCGTCTATTGTTGCGTGGCCCCATTCGAAAAACATGAGCAGCACACATCACACACACATGCACACACGTATCTCCAGCCATGTGCGCGCATCGATGCATCGGTCTGCATCGCACCCGCGCAGCTGTGGAGGCACCACGACCCCTGCCCGCAGCACCCGCGAATCCTCAAACCCTACTGGGGCAAGGCGCGTGGGCCGGACCGGCTACGACACAACAGCACAGCACAGAGAACGGGCGAGAGCACGAGCCCCCCACGAGTCAGTTTTGTCGCCACTATTGCATTTTCCCCCAGCGCCCGCTGCAGGCTGTGCGCGACTCCAGCTTTCAGCTGGTTCGGAGCTACCCCCGGGCTACGGGGGCCGGGTACCCCAACTGTCCATCATCGCCCCAGGGGCGGCGCGGGTTTGTTGTTGCGCGTGTGTGTTTGTGTGTCTAGCAGGCCGAGCGAAGCGGCGGGCTCTGCCCTGCCATGGCTTGAGTGGCGCCGGCTGGGTGTTTGAGGGGGCGCATGTGCGCCCCGTTGCCCGCTGGCGCGAGCGCCCTTGCTGAACAATACCATTTTGTACAGTAGAGTTGGTAAAACTTGATTTGCGCTTTGCACAGTTGTCGATCGGCCAGGCTGGGTGTAGATTGGGAGTCGGCGCCTGCATGATGGCTGCTTCTGCCGGAGCACAAGCGATGGGCCATGGGGGTTTGGGGGTGGGGCGAGCGCATGCACGAACACGAAGCAAGGCATGGCCCACAGACTTGACAAGACAGCCTCCTGGCTCTGGCTGTGTACTAAGGCTGGGTGAGCCCAGTGGGCATATGTAGCTGGCCGGAGTGCCGCGCCCTGTTGGCAGGTCTGTATTCCACATCAGCGAATGCTGGTGACAGGCATGACCAGAAACCACAGACCAGTGCCCGCCATCCACTTTGACGCACTACACGACAGAACAACCTACGCTCACTGCGTCCCTTTCATGTCTTCTTGGCACCATTTACCACTCAACCAACCGTGAATCGGTCGGTACGTCCAAATTCAAACTTCTGCACGATCTGAGACCTCTGATCGGTTCAGGACAGGTTGTGCGGCTCAGTATACACGACATAGATAAGCATTGCCTACTCCCGGGATCCTTGGCTTCTCGGTGGATGCGGTGGAGCAGTGTGCCTCGTCCTTGACTTGCGTCCCAGAGCAATTTTAGCAAGGGAAACGACACGATGAGCACCGTGGTTCAGTCACCCGTCCCAGCAGGCGGCTGCGGGGCGCCCGCCGCAGCAGGAGGCTGCCGCATTCAGCAGCACCCAGCGGACGCTGCTGGCGACGCCGGCTCGAACGATGTCTACAACAATGAATACAATCAGTTCATGGTCAGCGTTTGGAAGGCTTGATGTGTTTTTTGCCTGGTTGGCCCCGCTGCTTTTATAGCAACACAGTGTCTAGGCTCATGCCAGGTCAAAGAGGCGGTGACATGGGAAGCAGCGCTGCGCTTCTTGCCCCGCTCACCCGCTGTCGCCCGCCGCCCTCAGGTGTGCGGCAGCCTGTTTGAGTGCCCGGCCAAGTATGCCCCCATCAAGCCCATCGGCCGCGGGGCGTACGGCATCGTCTGGTGAGCGGTGCAGGGATGGGCGGCAGCAGCAGCAGCACCATCAGCAGCAGCAACAGCAGCAGCAGCAGCAGCAGCAGCCGCAGCAGCAGCAGCAGCCGCAGCAGCAGCAGCAGGACTGGTCGGACACTGCTGCATGGACAGCTTGGATTGGGCGGAAGGATGCGTGGCAGTGGATTATGTTATTCGCGCATGACTTGAGAAGAAAATCATGGAAGGCAGCGAGGCGCCGCCTGAGCGTGCTGCAGGGTTGCAGGCCTCCACCCGCAGTGAGGGCGCGCAAGCCGCGGACCGTTCCGCGCCGCCGTCCCGCGCGCAGCCCCCGATGCGGCGGCCCGGGCGCGTGGCAGCCCGCGGACGGCCGCTGAGGAGGGCTGACCCAATCAAGCCCCCTTCGCCCGATGGCCCATGCGTGCGCACTCGCGCTCGCGCGCACGTGCATGCTTCCCTTCGATCGCTGCAGTTCTGCGCGCAACCTTGAGACGAATGAGCGCATCGCCATCAAAAAGATATCCGGGGTTTTCGACAGCCCCGTGGATGCCAAGAGGACGCTCAGGTGTTTTTGTGGGGGGGGAGTGTGGAAGGCGCGCCAGGCAGCAGCAGCAGCAGCAGCAGCAGCAGCATGCGCGAAGGGGTAAAGGCAGCAGCAGCTGCAGCAGCAGCATGCGCAAGGGGTAAGGGCAGCGGCAGCGGGGGGAGCCGCAGCAAAAGCAGGAGGGAGCGACGCCCCTGGGCCGCGGCGGGCTCGACGCGCAATGAGCATCCCCCCACCCTCCGGCCATGACGCGTCCCTGCGCCCGCGCCCCCGCGCAGGGAGGTGCGGCTGCTGTCCCACCTGCAGCACGAAAACGTGATTGCCCTGCGGGACATCCTGCCGCCCCCCAGCGGGGCCGCCTCCTTCAAGTGAGCGCGCCGCGCCGCGCCGCGCGGGGCCGCGCGCTTGCGGGCTCGCTGCGGGCGCCGATGCGCCGGTTTCCTTTCCGATTGCTGCGCGCGGCGCGCTCGGCCTCGAGCGCGCACGCCGGGGGCACGTGTTGTCCCCGCCGGGCGCCGGAACAAAACGTCGCGCGTGACTAGATGGGCGGCCCTCACGGCATCCTTCATGCGCTCTCACCTTGGCCGCGCCCCTTCCAAAGCGACCCCCCTTCCAATACCCCGGCCCTCCTGATGCCACCCAACCCCACACCCCGCCTCTCTCAACACTCCCGGATGCATTAACCTGTCTGCTGCTGACGCTCCTGAACCCTGGAAAATATCTTAGCCCAGACATCTTGGCCCAAATATCTCGCCCCCCAGGGACGTGTACCTGGTGTATGACCTCATGGACACAGATCTGCACCAGATCATCCGCAGCCCCCAGCCCCTGAGCGAGGACCACATCAGCTACTTCACATACCAGGTGGGGTAGGGTGTGGGGAGGGGTTTGGGAGAGTGGAAGGTCCAGAGCAAATTGGTGCCCTTGCACATGTCCATGCGCGCGTGCGCACAGAGACACGCGCGCACAACATACATACGAGCCACGCACAAGCGTATGCACTCGAGTGTGCAGACTCACGCGCCGAACGTACACACACACACACACACACACACACACACACCATCCATATCCCCCCACCCGCAGCTCCTGCGCGGCCTCAAGTACATCCACAGCGCCAGCGTGCTGCACCGCGACCTCAAGCCCAGCAACCTTCTCGTCAATGCAAACTGCGACCTGCGGATCTGCGACTTTGGCCTCGCCCGCGTTGGGTGAGCGGCTGAGGGCTTGCCTGAGTTTGCCTGGTCAGGTTCAGGGTTGAACTCTAAACACCAAACGCTAAACCCTTGCCGAAGGCAGGATGTGATGTTGTTTCGGGCCGGCTGGCAGGGACGGTCAAAGGGCCGGGCAGGGGGGGGAGGCTGCGGTGCGAAAGGGGGGCCTGGGGTTTGCCCGAGGGGTCGGGGTTTGGGTTCAGACCCTGAACCCTGAGCCCTTGCACAAGGCAGGGGTTGATCTTGTTTTGGGGCCGGATGGCGGTGACGTTCACGGGGGCGGGGAAGGGGGGGCGGTGCGAGCGATGGGCGGCGGGCGCGGTGCGGGAGACAAAGAGCAGGGGGTTCCCCAGCGATCGCTGCGTGGGATTGGGCGCATCGGCGCGCCCGCGGGCGCACCGCTTCCTCCCGGCGCGCTCCACATCAGGAGCGGCCCTCCCGCCGCAATCGCTGCGCGCCGCCGCCGACGCGGTCCCCACTGAAAACGCAGCAGGGCCCGGAAAGGCCGTGTGTGCGCCGCCGCCTGTAGATCTTCAACGCCTCGATCCGCCACATAAGCCTCACACTATTGAGCCCTGCTGACTGTTGGCCTTCCGCGCGCGCCTTTCGCAGCAACCAGGGTGTCGGCATGCTGACAGAGCACGTCAACCCGCCACATCATAATTTTGATGACACGATCCCTGCTGACTCTTGGCCTTCCGCGCGGTTCCCATGCAGCAACCAGGGAGCCCAGGAGGGCGTCGGCATGCTGACAGAGTATGTCGTCACCCGCTGGTACCGCGCGCCAGAGCTGCTGCTGTCATGCCCCGACTACACCGCGGCGATCGACATCTGGTGCGCGGTTGCTGGCGCTGCCATCCCTCCACGGGCCCTGCCACGCGCGGCGGCGGCGTTGGGCCAACGCTGCTGGTGCTGTGGCTGGTGCCGCTGGTATTTCCGCGGTTGTTGGTTGTGCGGCGGCTGCTGCTGCTGCCACCGCCCCTGCCGCTCCGGCTGCAGCCGCAGCTGCTGCCGCCGCTGCCACGCACCCCCTCGCACTCACTGCCCCCTCACCCGTTTTGCCTCCTGCCGTCGCACCCCCCCCCCTCCCAAAGGTCCGTGGGCTGCATCCTGGCGGAACTGCTGGGCCGCAAGCCGCTGTTCCCCGGGAAAGACTACGTCCACCAGCTCAACCTCATCACAAAGGTACCCAGGTCGAGGCCTGACGCCGGCAGGGAACTTTGGTTTTGGGGGGGAGCGGGTGCTGCACCATCGACCAGGTTGCACTCACCACAAAGGTGCCCGGACCGGTGCCAGCCGGAAGACGACCAGGCACCCTTGGCGGGGGAGGGGGGACCTGGGCCGGAGCAAACCGCCAGCAGGACGCTTTTCGGGGAAGGGGGGCCAGGGGGGGGGGGTGAGGCCGCAGCGCACAGGCTTGCACCAGCTCAACCAATTATAAAGGATGGGGCCTCATGCCAGCAGGGCGCTCGGAGGGGGGGTGGCGTGAGGTTGCTGCGCCCGGGCTTGCGCTGTGTGCGCTTCTCCGCCCGACCGGGCATGGCGGCCGGGCCCTGCACGCCGGGGGCGGAGGACTTGGCCGGGCGCGCGCGGCCCTGCGGGTGGCTTCTGCTGCTGCGAAGGCGAGGGGTGCATGGGCGGTGGGTTGACGCCCAGGGTGCTACCGCCAAAAACGAGTCACACGACACACACACACACACACACACACACACACATGTAATCCACACACATCACAGACACATCACACACACTCTCTACAGACAGTACACTCACAAAACAACAAACGCACTCGTCCCCTGCCCCAGGCCATCGGGTCTCCAGGAGAGGAGGACATCCAGTTTGTCAGCAGCGAGAAGGCGCGGCGCTACCTGCGCTCGCTGCCTCGCTGCCCCAGGGCAGACTTCCAGGAGCTGTGGCCACAGGCGGACCCCCAGGTTCGCGGGGCTTGGGAGGCCCCCTCCTGCCCGTTGACCTGGTCAATCGGCCATGCACCTCCGCTCTCTTGTCGGCTGGGCGCCTCTGGGGAGGGTGGCTGGGGGTCGAGCAAGGTCATAACGCGTACGTACACAATTCACCCTCGCATGCACGATCAAACACTCCGTTGGCCCCCGCAACACACACACACACACACACACACACACGATCACACACAAAATCACCCACACAAACACACACACAGAGCAAACCATGCTCCCAACACCCGCAGCATGCATGCATGAACGCATGCACGCCTCCTCCCTCCCCCCACTCTCCCGACTCTCCCACCTCTCCCCCCCTCCCCCCAGGCCCTTGACCTGCTGTCTCGGATGCTCGTGTTTGACCCCTCGCGCCGCATCAGCGTGGACGACGCGCTGCGCCACCCCTACCTGGCCGCGCTGCACGACGCCGCGGACGAGCCCGTGGCCGACGCGCCCTTCACATTCGAGGTGCCAAAGGTGAGCGCGGCCGCGCAACTCCCGCTTTCCTCCACCCCTTGGGAGAAACGTGCTCGGACGCGGCTGTGTGCGCACGCGACGGCCCACAAATGCCTTGCCCGGTTCGCCAACCGCTCGTTGTGTTGTGTGTCGGTGTGCGCATGCGTGGATGTGTACATATGTGTACATGTGTGTGAACGCACTCACACACGGTCACACTCAACACAAACACACACACGCACACCCACACGCGCGCGCGCGCAGGACATGACCACGGAGGTCGGTCGCGAGCTCATGTGGGAGCAGGTGCTCTGCCGCCACCCCGAGCTGGCGCGCGGCGGCGCGGCCCCAGGCAGCCCCTCGCTGCGCAGGGACCAGCGGGCGGGCGCGGGACGCCCGTGAAAGCGCGCGCGCTCGCTGTCGCCTGATGGGAATGCTTGGCCCCCCCGCTCGCTGGGGTCTGGCTCTGTCTGTTTCGGTTGGGTTTGGCGGCCGCTTGATTCTTCATTCTTTCCCTGGCTCTGCAGCAATGCGTGTTTCTGAAGCGAGGACGGAGATTTTTTGTTGTGTGTCCCCCTGTCGTCACATCCGGTCCGCCAGCACACGCTCGGCCCACGCACACCCAGCCGCCAGCGCATGTTTCATGGCGCAGAGGGCCGTCCACGTACGTCCAAATTAGGTTTACAGACAATTAGGAGGGTTAGGGCAGCTGACGGCGTGCGGCGGACGTGCTGCTCTTGCGTGGGGCCGTCTGTATTGGAACTAGGCAGGAGCGCGTTTACACACAAGTTTTTCCTGAGGTAGCTGTGCAAACATGCCCCTGCCCCTTGGCCCCTGGCACACACACACACACCTTGGTGTTATAACACACCTGAGACCTGCCCATCACCGGGGCGTTGATGGGTGGACACACACAGCACTTGCCTGTAAACAACAAAGGTGTAACAATTGTTCTGAAAACCACGACATGATACCGCTGTCACGCCAAGACAGTTGGCGACCAATGGCGTTGCATAATCCTTCGTGCCACTTACCCATCAGTGATGGGTTTCGCTCCATCCAATTCTCTTTGGCCTTAGCCCTGCTGCTCAAAACGCTGCAGCAGATCAGTGAAATCAACCTCGGCCCAGCTCCTCAGGACGCTGCAGCAGACCAGTCACGTCAAAATCCCTTTACACGCCGTGTGCGCGCCGTTCCCAGCAACATGAGCTGTACAGCTGGGCGACACAGCAAAGGCAAGAGCAAATGGACTACCAAAGGGAGGTCGGGTGAAAACATGCGGCGCAGCTCCTGAAGAGCCCCCACACTTGACAGCCTCAAGCAGAGCAGCATCGGGATCTCGAATAGGATTGGTACAGCGTCCCGCCTGCGGAGCCATCCAGGCGGCAATGGCGTTTGCAACCCGGCGCTGCTCCGTCACACCGCTCGGTGCCCAAAACTGCATTTCTGGTTTCAAAGTCTGAACCGTGCAAGAAATAGCGGGCTTGCCGCCCGACTGGCGCGCGCAGCCCTCGCGCCTGCGCCCGCGCCGCTGCCAGGGCGCCCCTGTTGCTGCCGCCCGCGCCCGGGGTCGGCGTTCGCGGCATTTCCTACTGCGCCTGCGCCGCCTCTCCGCACTCCTTCTTGTGCTGTTTCCACGCTGCCTTCTGGCAGGCCTGCGCATCAGGAGCGAGGCATGTCCCCAAATCAGCGGGTTTGACTGTCAAGAGGAGCGAATACTGTAAGAGCTTCTGAACGAGATGGGGCCAGGCATCGCACGACAAATCCAGGGTTCAAACAAGCGTACATAAATCAATTCGGAACTAATCCCTGTTGCTCAATAACAAACACACAGACACGTAAACACACACGCACACACACGCGCACACGCACACGCACACACGCATACACACGCACACGTGCAAACACACGCGCACACGCACACACACGCGTACACGTACGGACGCACCACACGAGCGCGCACGCACGCACACACACGCGCGCACACACACACACACACACACACACACACACACACACAGCATACGCGCATGCACAACACACGCACGCACTGATACATGCACGCGCGCGGCCCATGAACACACAACAAAAGCACGCTCCTTGCCGCAGTAGTGCGCGCTCCTGCAAGTTTGACGAGTGCGGGCCCGGTGCGGGAAGCGCAACATAAGCTTCAGCACTCGACACCAATCAAGGGGCGGCGGCCGCGAGCGCGTCACTAGGCGTTGCACGGGCGCAGGTGCGCAGGGCATGCAGCATCGCTCACCCCCCACAACCCGGCGGCGCACCCCTGGCCCGCCCCCATCCTGCCAAACACAGCCTCCTCCTTGGAGAGACAACGACATGGCGGAGTAATTTTTGAAAACCGCTCACCGGCAGCCCGTGCAGAGGTTGAGCTTCCCAAACGGCAGCTGGCAGTGGTCGCACGTCTGCACGGGCGGGACCAGCGCGTCTCCCAGCTGCTGCGCCCCCACGCCCACTCCCTCCTGGTAGGTGTCCTCTGGGAGCGCCTGGATCTGGGGTTGAGGCAGCGGGGCGCGGCAACAAAGCAGGAATCAAGTAACAGGGTTTGGGATTTCAGCGTCTAGAGTTCGAAATGCAAGCCCTAAACCCCTAACAATCAGAGTTTAGGGTCTAGGTTTTGCATTTCAAGGGCGTAATGTTGGGAAAGGATACGGGGAAGACGTAGGGAGGGGGACAGGGGTAAAATTTGAGGTAAAATTTGATAAAGGCGGGGTGGTGCAAGGGCCCGTCGAAGGCAAGGCCGCCCTCGCCGCCGCCCTTGGCCTGGCAGACCCCTCGAAGGGACCTCGAATCCCCGCCCTGACAAGGCCTAAACCCTGTCCAAATTCGAATGCCCTCCATGCTCCAGACACCCAAAAATCCGCGCACCTCCAGGTCGTCCGGCGCGGCCCGCAGCTCCTCTGATGAGATGTCCTGCGGCCGGCGGCCCGTCTGGGCGGCCAGCGCGCGGGACAGCGCGTCCTGTTGGGGCACGGGCGATCAGGCCCGAGCGCGTGAGACATTGGCGCGTGAGGGTTCGGCGGGACTCGCGCGGGGGGGCCGTGGCCAGGTGAGGGCGCGGTGCGGGCGGGGAGGCGTGGGAGGGTGAGGGAGGTGGCATGCGCCTCTGCAGGGTTTGGGGGGGGGGGTGTCGCAGCATTCCAGCGAATGGTGGGATGCGGCCGAGGAAAGGGAGCGCCGCCGGTGGGCCACAGGCTCGCTGATTGAGAAAGGGGAACAGAATCAATCAGAATCTGCACCGGAAGATACTAGTATGCATACAAGTCTACTATTACTGGTGCTACTAGGGTGCAGGCTGAGCTTAGTCTGGTGCTCGCTGCGCCGTGCCCTCACCCCTGCCACCCAAACGTCCCACCCAACCAGCGCCACAAAGCTTGTCCTTGCTGCCCCCCCCCCCCACTTCCCGCGTGCACACACGCGCATACGCATACGGACATCCACACTCGCACAAGAGAACACACGCGCGCACACCCACACACACACACACATACGCATACACCGACCGGCATCCACTTTGCAGCCGACCATGCGCCTCAGCCCCCACCGACATCCGTCCCCCTCCTCCACCCCGCGGCCCCTCAATACCCTGTCCGCCGCCGCAGGGCTGACTCCTGGGCTTCCGTCCGACCCACCGCACCTTGAACAACTCTTGAACCCCTGATGCGATGGCGTCGACGCGGCGCCTGGCGGCCACATCATAGTACCCCCTGAGGCGAGAGATCACACCGGCGCCGCACAGATTTGTAAGGCTTGGCATGTACAACAGTCAGGGTTCAGGTTTTAGGATTGGGAGTTATTGTAGACGGGTCGGGGCGGGGCATGGGGCGCGGCAAAAGCAGGCTCCCGTGCAGCACTGAGGTGCGAGGTGACGAGGGGTGGCGCTGAGCCGCTGAGCGGGACACACGCACGTGGTCTTGAGAGGGGCCGGGCGGCGCTGCAAACCAGCCTGGGGCACGCCAAAGCTGCAGCCACCAGCAACCCAGGTTCCATCCACACCAGGAAACACCAAAACTTGCGGCATACCGCCATGGCGACAGGGCTCCCTCTCGACCACGCTGGCCGCCAAAAGATCAAAACGCGCGCCGGCCCCTCACCACTTTTTGAGCGCCGCCTTGTGGGCTGCGGCCTGCGCCTTGAAACGCCGGTAGTCGCCCACCCTGTAGGGCCGCGGGCCCCCCACCATCACCCGCAGCAGGTTCCAGCAGGCGATGCAGCCGTACACGTCGTCGACCGACGTGCCCTCGGCCGGCAGCTGCTGCTGCTGCTGCTCCTGCTGCTGCTCCTGCTCCTGCTGCTGCTGCTCGTTTGGAGCCGAAGAGCTTGTAGATGAGGGGAAGGAGGGGGAGGGAGCCGCAGCAGCAGGGGGGACCTTGACGGCCGAAAGCTCAGCCACCTCTCGCAACCGCGCCACCAGCTGCGTTTGGATAGCGATAACAGCAGTTGGTCGGTTGGCCGAATGGTCAGCTTGTCGGATGGTCGGACGACTGAAGAGTCGGATGCGTGGTCGGTGGATTGGCATGGTGGGTCGGTTAATTGGTTTGCTGGTTGCTGGCCGGGTGGGTGTGTGTTGGTTTGTCGAGGAGTTGGTTGCTTGCCAACTGGGTGGGGGGGGTGGGCAGGTGATGCGGTCGGCTGGCTGGTGGACGGCTGGGTTCAGGCAGGAGGCTGCCGCTGAAAAAGGTTTGTTGTGTTGTTGGTGCATAGGCGGGCATCCAAAACCGGGTCTGTCCGGCAAGCAGGCGACGAGCGGCGCCGCTGTGGGTGGAGGACATGGGGGCCGCGCGGCGTTGGCTGCAGGCGGCTGTGCCTCTCTTAATTTGTGTAATTGTAAGCAGTCCTTCCTCAACCATCCCCCCTT